GTGGACTGCAGTTTCGATCTCGCATCGGTCTTATCAACACCCTCAGCGGGACTCGAATCGTGACAGTGCAAAATGTGAGCTTGACACGTTAACCACTCGGCCACATTGCCACGAGTGCCCTTTCGTCACAGGGCAAATGTGAATTTTAAGGAAGGCCAGGCCTTTTGTCATATCGTATTCTTCCACCAGTCCTACATCACTTTAAACGAAATTGGGTGAATACAACTTATATTACTTATTTACTGGTAGTACTGAAACAATACGTAAATGCGAAAAATAAAATAACATAGTCGATTGTCATAGCAAATATACGTTTGCTTTATCAACAATGCCACCAAAGAATATGATATGGCAAAAGGCAAGGCCTTCCTTGAAATTTACATCTGCCCTGTGACCCAAGGGCACTCGTTGCAATGTGGTCGAGTGGTTAATGTGTCAAGCTCACATTCTGCACTGTCACGATTCGACTCCCACTGGGGGTGTTGATAAGGCCGATGCGAGGTCGAAACTGCAGTCCACACTTGATGAGAACAACTTTTGGAAAAGCAAGGATATATGAAATTCAACGGAAACGTCAGCACTACTCATATCATTGTGGGAAAATTCTTCTTCCAGTCTTTCATCACCTTAAACGAAATTGAGTGAATACATCTCAAAAAACCTACTGTTATGTTGGTAGCTTCATAGTCTTAGAAGGTGGCAGGACAGTTGATCGACTTAAATTATATGCTTGCTAGTTAAATCATACTTTCACATTAAAACATGAAAAAAAACAATATAAATCTTTCTCGGATATTTTAAGGTCTCTTTTGCAGGATGTCTCAAATATAGGTAAAATTCCCCAACTATCTTATTCATTTCCAACCTCCCTTAAATGGTTAGATGCTCCGCAAAATTTTGTATATACAAATAATCATATTTCCGATAAAAAATATTATCGATTTCAAGAAAAGTAATATACATTATTCTCAGTGGCCTATTCTGGACAGTAGTCGGGCGTCATAGCGGGCTTCTGTAATACGCTACTCCATTTAGTGCCTTGAAGGAGAGAAAGCTCAATGCGCTTTATTAAATGCGCCGGACTATCAACCAACTTCTAAATTGGCTTCACTGGAGGCATTTGTTTCTTTTTCTGGGGATTTTCAATATATGTGAGAATGCCTAATCGGTTTCACTTTCTTCTTGGCCAATAAGTAGAAGCTAGATCTCATCTCTTTCTATCGTCAAATGCTTAATAGATCATAGGTAAGCATAGTGAATGATGATCAAGTCGAGCAGCAGACAAGAGAATTCGATATCTGGTTGTTGCATGGTTCCTTGCATAGATATAATCGACAAGTGCTCTCATTAGCAAAAGCTTCTTTTCTAACAGGATACTAATTGCCAAAAATAACAACATCTAATCAGCATCCTGTTTATAAAGCAACTTTTTTCCTATTATTCTCCTGAATAAACATATGGAAATGCATTTTTCGTATATAAGTAGAGTTTCGAGATGCACTCTTAGAGTTTAAGTGCCTGACTGAATAGTCTATTTTATGTTCTTTTTTATCCTGATATATTTACCAAGATCTACTGGTATTTTAGGAGCTAACTTAATACGAATTCAAATTCAGAACGTTAAGAATTCAAAATCTTATTCTTCATAACTCTTTGAAAATGAACTGTTAAAAGGGATTTTGAGCCTAATAACTAGATAGCTAGTTATATTCACTACATATTTTCATTTTCGTTCATCAACCTAAACGAAATAGAGTGTGTTATACTTTTTGTTGCATACATTTTTTTGCTTTCGCAAGTACACTGGACATAAATGTATTGTTTATAGTCACAAATTTAACTTCCTAATGTGGAGTATGATCTTGGTTCACTAAACTTGTAACTAAAAGAGCAAGGCATAAGGGTACCATATGAAGGTTGGGATTTTTCATTAACCTAGTGGCCTAGTGTTAACATTAGACTTATACAAGAATTACTTCCAGCTCTGATTATGTCCATAGTATGATGGACTAAAGATGAGTTTGTTTTCACACGAAGCAAGGGATGCTGCCTAGTGGACTGCGTCAACCTGAAGATCGTATTAAAGCCAAGAGGCTGCAGTACAACGGGAATCAGCCGTCGTCTGCTGGCGAGATAAACCTACTAATCTCTTTTTCATGCAATTTAATAAGAGATGAAGGCCTCCCTAACAATGAATTACTTCTATGATCAGCATGTCTACTATTAACCAACTAGGTCTATTCTCCTCCGCATTTATCGTGCTTTTATCCTTAATGACAAGTCTATGACTTCCTATCCTCTTGTGTACCAGCCCCCAAACTTTATGGTTCTACTTGTTTTGATTATACTTCAATTTGTGGGAAGTTGCTTTCCCATTCAATATTGCATTTTGCACTAAGGCAAAATTTAATACTTATAATCCAATTGTTTTAATCGCATTATCGCGATCCTATTTCTTTCTTTTTTTTGCTCATAGCTGCTTATATACTCATTTCACTCATTCGATAAGTTGTGAATTCTTCATATGTGATTATTTTAGGATTTTATGAGCCCAATAATTCATTTTTTAATCTAATCATTTTGCATTTTCATCACCTATTCTAATTTTAATATAGTAGATTGTATATGAGCTGTATTAGACCTCGCCTAGTTCTCATCAACACCCCCTGGGTGATTTGAAAATTTCTATTTTCCTCTAATTTTGTACGTAGATAAGCATAATAAAAATTTACTGGAGATGATTCCCCGACCCCTCGTTGTCTATCTGAAAGATGAGGTATGAGGGCCATTTGAACTTTCATTTCATTTAACAGTTTGGTTAAAAGATATTACTTCTCGTCCTCTTCCCAAGTTTATGGGACTTTAAGTTTCGATTGCCGGTTTTCGTATAATAGTCCTAACTTGACAAATTAGTACTGAGTCTTTTCTGGCCTCTTAACATGCATCTTTTGGTTCAATACATCATTCTTTAACATATTTGTGGTCCCAGGCCGACTCGGCCTTCAGTATTATCAGTCCTTTGTAGCTTTAGTCCTTTACTCACTACTCATCTCATATGTCCGTCTTTATTCGACTTCTACCTATTTCCATATTCCAAATTCTATACCAGCAGAGGATTTTTCATGCATTTCTTTTTTGCTCATCATGACTCCTTGGCTTCGACAATTTTTCCCTGGCGCTCGCGGTTAAAGGTAATCTTTTGGAGTTAGCATCACTAAGAGATTGGTTAATCTCGAAGTTCTTGCAGTCTCGGCCTACTTATTTATTAATTTGCTTTTAGGTTGATTTAGGCCGTTTATACTAGAAAAATGTTTATGCCTTCAGACGTCTTTGATAATAAGGTTTTTTCCATCTCTTTTTATTTATTTTCCTATCACTTCTTTAAGCTTGCACATTTGGACTCACTTTTACCCTGCTCAACTACTTGGATCAGCTGGACTTTTTTTTGCCGTTTCTCTATACTTTTGCTCTATTTAGTATTTATCTCTGCCTTAACCATGGGGGAAGCTCATCATAGACCTCTGATTTGCTTTATATTACGACCATAATATTACTCACTTTGCTAAATCTTGGTTTCAATTTTTCCGTCTACATTTAAACTTAACTTAATTCAATTTTCCAAAATAACTTTCATCATCAAATACCTGATATGCATGTACATTAAAACACATTTTTATTTTATTACAGGAGTTCTACAAAGCAATAGACAATTGCAATGAGGTAATCTCTCGTGATACAGAAAATGTAAAGGCTCTCTATCGTCGCGGAAAGTGTTACTTTGAAACATGGGACCTGGACTTGGCTGAAGCTGATCTCAAACGAGCGGCCAAGTTATCACCAAGTTTGGCAGCCATGGTACAGACTGACCTGGCAACGTTAGCCGAAAAAAAACGCAATCGTGAAATGGCTGATAGACGCTTACTCGCTGGCAAGATGTCATTACAAAGCAGCAATGGTTGAGTCTAAATCAATATTTAGATTTCAGGAGCTGTCCTTCATGTCGCCTGCATCTACTTTCTCTTATTGTCCCCTTCTCCACTTCCACTTATATTTGAGCTACTTTATACATTTCATGTTATACTCTTATTCATTCTCAAAATTGACGACTTTAAATGTATATAGCTCCTACTCTTATTTTCGCTTCTTTTTCGTCTTGTCTTTTTTTTGTACTTTTCACTGGGGGCTAGTATTCCTAATTATCATATAAATACAGATCCTAACTTATGGACCCATTTGGCCTTTAATAGGAATAGATTAGTCGAAGATATCAGTCGCTTCAAGGCATATTTAAATCACATGTTAGTTAAGAATAGTTCATTTTAATTCCTTGTGTGAGTTTTCCTTCACGCTCTAGCTACCCATATCTCCACTTTGTATTTGCATATTTTTTATGATTTACTTTTTCTCTTAGCACAATATGCCGCCAGGGTAAGGCAGCGACATTTTGAGAAAGTATTCTTTTAGCTAGTGTAACCATTGTCAAATCAAGAATGTTATTCCGTTTTACCTTTTTCCCTTACCTCAGTAACTTCAGCTTTAAGCTTAATATGTAGGCCTTAAGCATTCTACTCTTTCTTTTCCTCTTCTTTCTGAAATATGCTATTTCTGGATTTTTTGCTCTATCCTTATGTTTGTCCGATCAGTAATATATCTCATTTATTACCGCCATTCTTTAAATTACTGTTTATACGAGCATCTATTGAAATGGCTATGATCAACACTGCATTTTGCGTCAACTCTTCTACTATATATTCTTAGTGCATCGGCGTTTTAATTATTTGATAATTTTCTTTATTAGTACGGTTTTGTCTTTCTATATTTATATCCTACCTTCCATGTGCAAAATGTAAGCTTAAAAGTGAGCTAGCTATAAATGGTAAATCCACCCCAGGCCAAAAAATCAAGATGAACTCTACTTTTTCCACCATACTCCTGGATACTAAATCAGGAAGACTTTAAGTTAACGAAAATTGTATCGGTTTTACAAATAATCAGATTGTTACATCCCGAATTTTAGGCGCAAATACTCCTGCTCCACGCTTTATTGGGTATTCCTGATTTAACGAATGGTCTTTCCGCCTATTCAATATCAGTTTATCTGCCTATACTCTCATCCCATTGTGAATAATAACAGATCTCTTAAGCTGGATTTAAACATGGATTAGTTTGTCCCTTTTTGAACTCTTTACTTGTTAAACATAAATTTCCAAAAATGCTTTTCTTACCTTTGGTGCCTGTCTATACCTCTTCATGATTTCTTGATTTGACACCCGTGATTAGGCCTAT